TTGCAAAAATGCAATAAATTTATTTAATAGAACGTAGACATATTGCCTTTTCAGTATTTTGCTATGAAACAAAACAATGTGAACCAAATTCAATGAAATGAATTCAACATTCTTACTGTTCAGATGAGTTATTATAAAACCATATTGAATTATTTAATAGCTATAAATAGAACATTATTAAATTTGTAAATGAAATCTGGTTTGATTGTCCCAAAATGCTATTATTCAGGTGTTTAATTCTCAAATATACTAAACTGTAATTTTTTTAAATAATGGGTGTGTCTGATTTTCATGTGTAATTTATTTTGTGTTGCAGTTAGTAAAATAATCTGCCTTTTCCCTATAAAGTGATGATGAAATTATTATGTAAAAAAGGCAAAAAAAGAGGTTCTCGTCATCAAAAGTACTCAAAAGAATAATTTAATGATCTAATGTTAAAAATTTAACATATTTTGTGGTACTAAATGATCTTATAATATAAAAAAAAAAAAAAAAACCATGTCATACATGTATATGTATATTCATTTTTAAATTTTTCTAGGAAATTGGTTGAAATGGGGAGAAAGGTACATTATATGTAAAATGGGAGTTTTATATGCTGCATTTTGTCTTCTACAAATTAAACTCTGAATTTCTTTTGTCAACTTTACAAAAAAAAAACAGGACAGGTTTTTCCGTTTTTTTTAAAACTTTTGGTATGATCTGCAGCTAATAGGAAATCATCTATAAAGTCTTGTAAATTTCTAGCATCAAAAGTGAAAGTGGTTTTCTGTATGTCAAAAATTCGCCAAACAAAACAGTAAATGTATTTTGGCACGCACATGTTCATGTATCCTTTGGAGAGTTTTCAAGGAGGTATTGCATGTGAATACCTGACTGGAATTCTTTTGATACTACTTGGGGAAGGTGACTTTAATTGTAAGGTCAAAGACAAGCCATGTACACAGGTGTCTGGTTTATATATGGAACTTCAGTTTAAACTGGTTTATATGTATACTAAGTCTGACCACAGTGTTTGTGAAGTCTTACCACATACAGCTATAATCTGACATTGATATGTCTAGAAAAGTGATATGAACATTATTACTTCCTGTCATGTGATCATTTTAGGGATGAGCCATTAAAGATAATGGGTGGCATTTGCTATTTTCCTCACTCTCTTCCAGGATAGACCAAGAAAATTGTTATTCCTTCAGAACACCATACAGTTATTGATTTTTAAATTATTGACGTTGATAATTGAGTTTGATACCCACAGTCTCTGCCCAGCAAGATAATTGTCTGTCTTGTTTACCTCATAGTGTGTCCTTATTATTCCTCATTAAATTAATTTTTTTTTTTATTATATTGTTTAGTTCAAATGCCATATTCAATTTGTAAAATGCTACAGGCCTTTTTATTCTTCTCAGTTAACAAACCAACAATATATTTTATGGGATATATTTTTATTCTGTTCCATAAAATCATGATTGATGACCTGAGGTGATTGACCTGGTATGCAAATGAGTATTTATTCTGAGTCAGAGCCAGTAAATGTTAAGCCAGTAAATGTTACAAGGGATAAACAGCCGTGATTGATTGCATCTAATTTACATAACAGATTTCAGTTTAAACAACTATGCAAAGTGAGTTTTGAAGTGTGCAACACAGTGACTAGACTTATAGGTGAATGACCTGGTATGCAAATAAGACATTTTCAGGTGACTCAGTTTCTTGCTGGGTTAAGCTACAGTGTATCATGTTAATTTTTGAGGAAAACCACTAGATAATGGCACTATTTATAGGTAAAAATTTCTCAAATTTTTTTTGTTTTGTTTGATGCTGTTCTGTAGTGTTCTGGTGTGGAAACTTAGATCCATTTTAGCTTAGTACATGTATATCATCCTCAGCAAAAATCACTTTCATTGATTGAAATATACATACAATGTAGGAAATGATCACGTTAATTATTCTAATTTTAATATACCTCTCTGAAAATAATGTGAACCACTTTATTTTTGCAAAAATCATGAAATTGTCACTAAATAATGAATACATAGTAAAGGGTATCAGAAGAAACCTGTACAGTAGGTGACTACATGTATATCAAGTCGTGTTCTATGTGGGTCCCATGCAACATTTCCAACACATGTGAAATACATGGTTTATAGAAAATGTTATGTTTTTTCAAAGTACAAATATCATGCTGATGTTTTTGAGGCAAATCACCATTACGTGTAGTCTTTATAAAATTATTACTTCATGTAAATTGCCCTCTCTCCAACTTCCTATTTTCATGATACAGGAAATTAAAGCGAATCACATGAATGGATCAGAAATCTTCATCATTGAATCGCATTCATATACACAGTATTCTTAGGTTTGATTTCTTAGTGCATAAAGCTGACTTATTGTATCTACCTTTACTGTATATTCACAGAGAATCTGCATGAAGCTTTTATAGCTCGGCCGTTACCCACCCATCCCAAGGGAGAATCTCCTCGCTGGGGATCTAAAGAGTCATTACTGACCAATCCAGATGATAAGGATCATTTTATGGTTTTGTATGATTTCAACGGTAGTGGGGAAAATCAGCTTTGTGTATCAAAAGGTAGGTGAAAAACTTTTAAACAAAAGTCCAAAGAGTAGAGCTATTTAAATTACTGATTGAATTCATATAGGGTGTCGACTAGGTTTATAGGTTTTTATACTGCGAGTGTACAATGGGTGGTTCTTTCTCAGATTTGTTCATTTCAGGACGCTATCTTCTATTTTAGTGAATTTTTTGGTTAATTTTTTTTTTTTTTAATTTTTATTAGGGAAAGCTATTCTTTCTTATTTTGTATGTACCTGACATGTACTAGTACATTTGGTAGAACTCTGGCAAGATTTAGTCATTTTCATGATGATAACTTCAAGTATATAATTTCAGTGAACTTTTTTGTCATTTTTGTTAAAAAATGCTACATTTTACAATGCTATATTTTAACACAAGAAAGCAAGCAGATGGTGGTGATTAAATTGTGTTGTGAAACAGCTGGTCAAGCTCAGTCTTTAAGAGTATTTTTTTCACTTGCTGAAATAGTTGACTTACAAACTGCAAAAATACCTGTTGTTAAAAATTCCTGTATAACTTTTTGTTAACAGTGAAGCATGAATTAAACTCAATTTATTTTCCCATCCTAAACAAGTACATTTCAATATTAGCTGGTTATACTTTGCCAATTGAGATGGGCACTTTTTTTTAAATGTTTTTTGTGCCAGGCGACAGTTCCGGACATTGAATGTCACTGTTGTCACTCCTGACTTTTTTTTTTTTAAGTGTAAATTACAAGTGCTAGTGCTGACACATAGTGTCATTTTTCCACAGAAGTCATTTTCTGTTTGGGACTACATGACAGGGCTGTGTGGCCATCTCTCTATAAAATGGCAATTTTAATGCGCTATCCTGACGTCAACCAGGCTTGGTCGAACACACGCACCTGCAGACCTTAACCAAGGTTCCCCAATGTCGCATTCGTTAGTGAATGAATCTCGGCCAGTGGAATTGGCCTTCCCATTGAGCCTGTGGCACACTCACCCAGGGTAGGGGTCGACCCTTTGATGTTCAGCCTAAGGTTGGATTTGAACTTGGGTCTACCAATCATGAGTATGATGCGACAACCACTATGCTTACCAGTGATCGGTTAGAGATGGGTACTTTATTTTTCATCTTGCCTAGTGGACTGATCAGGGGGGTGTGCCATGGTTTGCACATTTCTGATAAATCAAGTCTCCCACCAAACAATACAAGTTAAGCAATGTGCATATTCCTACTGTTCTTTCAATTAAAGCGAGGGGGTCGTCACCTGCGCATGCGCGGGAATTGACTCCCAAGCGACGATAACAACACATGCTAAAAATGCAAAGGCTCATGGGCAGACGCTTGTTTGTAAATAATGATGCGCTATGGCCATCCGACGCATCCTCAGGTGACAACTTTCCCTGTTTAGAGTGTAATGAAATCCTGGTTATGCCACTGACTTTAAACACGAATAATTTTTCCACTAAGTTTAATATTTTTGTTTTTTTCTTCTGCAAATTATTCATTAATTTGGTTTAAATGGACACAATATCTTATTGGTCTCAGTCCAATTTTAGAAAAAAATATGAAGGTCTATTTTACAAAAGGCGACTTACCCAAACTTCTCTAAATAATCTACATGTACATGTAGTTTATGATTATGAAACAATTTTAGAATAGTCTTGAGAAACGATCCAAGAAGATGTGAGTTGGGCCTTACAGTACATACATTGTACATGTACAATCCAATCTGTGCATGTGACTTCTCATGGTGATGTACTGAAGTGATCGAGACAGCCAATCAATGATGTCACAGAATTCTGGCCATTTATGTATTTACATGTATGTAGAGATTCAGAAGACCGTTCTTGAGTCGCTGAGATAAATATTTTGAATAACTGGATTCAAGGCTGTTCTAGAAATGAAATATGTTTATATGTTGAAAATGATGCATGTGGATAGCTTGCTGTAATCTTGTTCATATGTAATATTAGTAACCTTCTTTCGCTACGCAGGTGCCCATGTACAGATTTTGACGTACAATAAGAGCGGTGAATGGGTAGAGGCCAGAGCCAAAGATGGCCGGACCGGATGGGTTCCTTCATCGTATGTATCACCAGCCGATAGTTTAGAAAAACATTCCTGGTATCATGGTAGAATATCTCGTAATGCCGCAGAGTATTTACTCAGTAGTGGCATTGATGGCAGTTTTCTTGTTCGTGACAGTGAAAGTAGTCCCGGGCAGCTGTCAATATCACTACGCTATGAAGGACGAGTTTATCATTATCGAATTAGCAATGCTTCAGATGGAAAGGTTTGTTTTCATTAAAATTTCAAAATATATTCATGATTGACTACTGTAAAACATGTCTTTTTTGTGAGCATGTCTTTTTAGCGAGAGAACTGATTCGCTAATTCAAGATGTTGCTAATGACTTTATTATAAATTCGAAATGGCCACCAAACAACGTCTTTTTTTCTCCACACACACTTTTTAAACACAAAGAAAACGTACTGACATGATAGATACACTTTATTGAAAAGTAAATTGACACAAAAAAATAAACGTATTCATTGTGGTCATTATTTCAATGAAAATAATATGAATAAATAACATAAATGAAGTGATACTGATATATAGTTTTTCTTTGTTTTTATGGTGGTGATAACTTCCATTTGTTTTGGCACGTGACAGACAAGTATTGTGAAAATAGGAAATGTACAATGACAAGAGAGATTCGCTAAATCAGCATTTTGCTATTATGTCATTTTACCACAATTTGCTAAAATTGCATATTGTTTTTTCAACATGTTTTACAGTATATATTACTCATAATTATGTTTGAAATCTTTTTTCATGTAGATAAAAAAATTGCATTTCCTTCTTTCAATAGAGGAATATTAACCATTTGAGTAATTTGTTTTGACAATTAATATGTCAATCTTGTCTTGGCTTTTAATAATTGGCTTCCCTTCTTCACAATAATCAGAAACTATATAATTTATGAGATGACTAATAAAAAAATAATGACATACAACGTATACTATTAAGGAGGATTACTACTATACTAGATCAAAGCCACTGCCCCATGTCCCTTCAGTCACTGGTTGTTGTAAATTCATGAGCTGCCCTTCACAAGAATACTCCACATTGTGTAATCTACCTTGTGCACATACATATAATAAACAACGTATTTAGCTAAAAAGAAACCAATTGAGCAAATGATTGCCCATGCACTTGTACATGTGAAGTTCACTCATCTCTGAGACTGATGTGTGCAAGCATATCTGCTGTGTTCTATTTACAATATACAATAATCACTAATCTTTACTCTGTCTGTTATAGATAAGTTTGTTTTAATAGCATTTTGTAATTTGCTGTTTTGTTGAGGGAGGTCTACTGCATTTAAAAAAGATAATGAATCATCAATGGCACTTTGTATTTGCAGGTCTTTGTGACGCCCGATAGTCGTTTCAACACCCTGCCTGAATTGGTGCACCACCACTCCATCAATGCTGATGGACTCATCACTACGCTGCATTATCCAGCACCTAAGAGAAACAAACCCACCATTTACGGATTATCCCCGCAACCTGATGACTGGGAGATTGAAAGAACTGAAATCGTGATGAAGCATAAACTGGGAGGCGGGCAGTATGGGGAGGTCTATGAAGCCATCTGGAAGAAGCATAATAAAACTATAGCTGTTAAAACGCTAAAGGTGAGCATATGAAATTGACATAACAATATCCGTTCACATCAAGAATCTGTGTTATGCATGAAATCAAATGTAAAAACATGACAATCAAAGGTCATAGTAGCATGTAAACATTAGATTCAACAAATGAATAAGTTTTTCTAAAGTATTTCCATGCTTAATAGATGATGGTCAAAGTATCTCAATCCAATATTCTCCTCTAAAAAAAAAATCATCATTTTGACATTTCAAATTGAAAATTGAATGTACAATTTTTTGTGGCGGTTGTTCGGTCCCCGCCTTTTACAAAATATGTGAAATCTGGCAGTGAACAGTTGATGTGGAATCTACTCACACATACATTGTATGTACCATGAGATCCAGCATTGACATCAGAAAATACTTGCTTGAAATTGATGCTAGCAGATAAGTCCATGTGATATGGATTTGTTTTGATTTCTTGCACATGTACATTGTTCTCTGTTCGGACCAAATTATAATTATCATTTTCTCCATATTCACACATTATCATGGGTCCATGCCATTGTATGCAAAATAAAAAAAAAAATTTACATCAGCAAAAAATTCAGAAACTTCAGTGACATTATGGTATTCAATATGAATCCAAATAATAATAAAAATTTGTAAAAACAAATTTTTTTTGTCCAAAGTGAAACTATTTCCCCATATACTTTATTTGCTCTATTAGTAGCACATTTGCTTATCGTAAATTACAGACAAGTGTCTATAGTTACAATAATTAATATTTTAATGTTTCGGTAAACAACAAATGTGATTTGGGACTTGTGTACGCTTCTATTGGAGATGTGCTTATTACAGAGAACATACGGTATTCAATAAGAAATTTCATTCTATGAAACTCTGTCAAGCATTTGTTTGCTTGAGACCTGCAAAAAGAAACACTTAAAAATAACAGTGTATTACAGATCCACTGCATAGGAAAATTAACGTTTTACTGTTAAATTTAACTGTGGTTTTATTGGATTCCGTGTTGTAATTTCAGATGCCATTGAAATTTTTTTCATTTCTCTGATTTCACACATGGCATAACTGATCTGCCTGGTCTCTGCTGGATACAATAATTTGTTGTTGTATCTTGCTGTGAGATCTCTTCTTTTATGCTTTATCTTCGCACTCTAGATTGGTAGGAGCAAATAAGAGTGATTTAACACCGCTGGCACTTTTGACAATTAATCTGAGTGCATCTGAGTTTGTGAATGCCTCACTGAATGTTGCAACTTTATATTGATTTGAAACCCGTTTCTTTTTGTGGTCCTGAACTGATGACAAAATAAACCTATATTAAATGATTGGTGTTTGCTTTTCTACTTTTTAAACCCTATAATGAAAGCTTTAAACAAAATATAAATTACCGTAGTTAATTATGGACTTGTATTATTCACCCACCATCAGTTCATTGATAATACTGTAAAATCTGTATTAAAAACGGCAGCTTCTATTAAAATGGTGCAATGCAACAGAGGGGATGCGGCTTCTATTAGAGCATCTACACATATGAGAAATGATGAATTTTCGGGATAATTATTCAAAAAGAGTATGTGTGACTTCTATTAGGGATGCGGCTTCTAATACAGATTTTACGATACTACCCATGACGTTATTAGTATAAACCTGCTCTACAAACAACCGATATCAGCTGGTAATCTCATCAAGTTGATAAGAATGTAAATTCAATCTTGTTCAGTTTATGTATATTTATAAGGAATTCTAATGAAAACACAATCAAATGTGTGTGAGTTTTGCTAATTTTTTTTTTTTCAAATTGTTTGACCAAGACCAGTCAACAATGAAGAATTATGTCAACTTAGGTTCAAAAGTAACATCGCAATTTTAGAAATACTGTAGAATACTTTATTTTCGCTCGGAATTTATTTTCGCTATTTTCGCTGAAGGGATGATTCCGTGAAAATAAAATCCAGCGAATATACTTTTTTCCCTATATTTCACATTAAACTCATCAAAAATCAGTGAAAATAAATTCCAAACAAAACGCCCAAAAAGCCTTTTCAGCGAAAATTAATTCCAGTGAAAATAAAGTATTCCACAGTAAGCAGAATGTTGTACCACAGTTTTGGCGGTGACAAATTCTGGATTTGTGGGGTTGAGATTGCTAAAGTCGCCTTCATTTCTTAACAATTCTGATGATATACCATGTATTTGTTTCTATTTCAGGAAGAAACTATGCAAGTAGAAGAATTTCTTAAAGAAGCTAGCGTCATGAAGGAAATAAAACACCCTAATCTTGTGCAATTACTAGGTAATATATCATAACCTGATGAAATAATTTTTAGGTGTATGTTTGCAGTGAAGTGCATTTGATTTCAATAAACCACTAGAGGGCGCCCTTTTATTTCTTGATCAAAATAGCCAAGGTGTAGGAAATGTTGATATTGATAAGGCAAACAGAGAGAAGAAAAAACATTGTTTATTTTTTTTAATTATTCATCATTGAACACAAATATATCAAAAGAGTTTCTTTTCATTCACAAGATGCAATAATAAGAGTTATCTCTGAGCTTTCTGCAATCAATATTTGATGAGTTATATATATTTTATAAGTTTTTGCTGAAAGATAATACTGTTATCGCAAGAATAAAAAGTGTTGATTTCGAAAATATGCGGCCGATATCAAGACAGCTGAATATTTAGTGTACTGTCTTTGTGTGTAATTTGTGACATCTTTAAACTAAGCTCATAATAAAAATGGCGGTTGTGACCTTTAAACAGCGCCCTCTAGAGACCTTTTGATTGACTACATTGTATTACTTCCTGTTTCAGGCGTCTGTACTAGAGAGCCGCCATTTTACATAATTACAGAATTTATGCCACACGGTAATTTACTGGACTATCTACGAGAAAATAATGAAGAAACACTGTCAGCCGTCACACTAATGTATATGGCTACTCAAGTTGCGTCCGCTATGGCATACCTAGAAGAGAAAAATTTCATACACAGGTGAGTGGCACCAAAATGACAGTGAAACATTTTGCATATTTTTATCTATAATTTTCTATAATTTCTTAATTTGAGTGAACATAATTTCCCACTTGTACTTGTGGGTCCCATAGCTTTGTGATATGGTGCAATTTTTCCATCGCATTTTCTCTGTTGTTTAACTTGGTACATAGTTGATACATGATGGTGACATGTGCTCTCAATCAGATTCAAAATGGCTGACTGGCAGCCATATTCAAGTACCCAGTAGTTGTTATTTAAGTTCACAAAAATCGGCTTAACTCATTCACCACCAGTTCCCTCTTTTCGTCACAATTTCAGAAAATAGTCCCATTCATAGTCTGGACATTCCTTGAGACAAAAATAGGCAAATTTCTTGAGTAAAAATATCGACTCAAATTTTATCTGTTGGCTCCAATATTAGGGTTCATTTCCAGAAATATTGAAAAATATAAGAAAAAAGTGTAGAAACATTTGGGCAAGAAAGTCTGGTGGTAAAAAGGTTAAGTTAAATATAACCAGGAATTTCCCATTCCTTATATATTCATGCACGCATACATTTGTTTGCAGGGATCTAGCTGCTAGGAATTGCCTTATTGGGGAAAACCACAGTGTCAAAGTTGCAGATTTCGGCCTAGCACGTCTCATGACTGGTGATACATATACTGCGCAAGCTGGTGCTAAATTTCCTATTAAGTGGACTGCTCCAGAGAGTTTAGCTTACAATAAATTCTCCATTAAGTCTGATGTCTGGGGTAAGTTGTCAACTGATTTTATCCCATTTCCGTTTGGCTATCTCACAATTGTGAGAATCATCTATTGGATGTAATTGTTTTCCAAGTTTGGTTGTGATCCAACATGGCCAACAGGTTGCCATTTTGTTTTAACAAATACTCTTTTTGAGCCATACATGTATCTATGACATGGCTTGACTGATCACATTTCAAAATTCTCACTAATAAGGGGCTAGATTTTTAAAAGTTGTGATAAAGGGAAATAATGGTGGATATTTCCATTTTCAAGTGTTCATTGTTTGGCATGTTTTCTCTTTACAGCGTTTGGTGTGTTACTATGGGAGATAGCCACATATGGCATGTCACCGTACCCCGGTGTGGAGCTAACACAGGTGTATGAGATGTTGGAGAAATCTTACAGAATGGAAAGACCCAATGGATGTCCGGCGGAAGTCTATAAACTGATGAAGAAATGTGAGTGCTAGATTTTAGTGTTGTGTATCAGGTATCCTCTCTGCTTGAGGTCAAACGAGATTTGTTGAACACAATTGCATGTGAATCAATGTTTTCCCCATATTTGGATATACAGTGTTATTTTATTGATTTTTGTCAGAGATGAGCAATCCAAGTTGTTCAATGCTTGCCCGTCGCCTTCCTAACATTTCTACTACAAGTACTCCTGACCACCCTTGTCCATGTGTGGCTAACTCAATTTACCTTGTTATGTGAGCAATGTTTTCATTAAGCCTTTACCTTTTAGCCACTACACTTGTCCAGATGAGGTTCTAAATAGAGATTTACTATTTGAAGAAATTATTGTCATTTTCAACTATACATGTAGCTACCTGTATACTGCATTGGCAGCCAAAATTACTACATCAGGATTTTAGTTGGTCACTATCACGTTGATCTCTGTACTTGTCTTCATAGGCTGGAAGTGGAATTCGTCAGAGAGGCCGACGTTTGATGAAATCCATGATGACCTAAACACAATGTTTCAAAATTCCAGCATTGGAGAGGGTAAGTGACAAACAAAAAGACAGATATGTGATGCATATGAATTTGAAAAGGGAAGAGTGAAAGGCCTTAATTTGGTTCTAAAATAGGTGAATCGAAATTGTAAAATTAGTCAAAAAAATGTTGGTACTTCCAAATATTAACAAAAAATACTCATGACAAGTGATTTCAATGTACCGTATTTGTCTTCAGTTAAGCGCCCCCTTCAATTGGGCACCAGTGCCACGAAAAGATCGTATTTTACACCCCAATTAAGCGCCAGACGGAGTTGAAATTTTGCTACGTAATGAACGTGAATTGTGGCCGGTGGATCGATTACCGGTTAATAGCGATAGACACAATTGCTCACTGTTACTGTACAATGGGCTTTTATGCAAAAAATTTGGTTTTGTTTCTAACAATTTTTAAGAAATCTGTCTATAATCCTTATGTCTCTTTGGTTTACTGTAGAAGTAGAAAATATCCACGTGGTTTTTAATTTAGTGAATTTCGCAGTAAGTCCATAAACACAAAATTAAAACTACGCAAAAATGTTCCGTTTCAAATGAGCTGTTATCACAGTAAACAGTTTTAAAATATTCTTTAAATGCTCAGTTTACTCTCCAAAAATAACTAATTTCTTGATTGAAAAAAAAAAAATCATGTAGTTTTCCCACTAAAATCAAAGCCAAAAGATCGCAAACATCGGCAAATCTCTGCCGCATTGCGTTCATACATTATTTAAATGAGCTATGGTAATTTGATCACATTGGCACCATCTAGCATTTTGATTGGAATATTAACGACTTGACCTATCAGGTCAAAAAACATGTTTCAGGTCAACTCCGACACAGGAAGCATGGCAGATATCGTATTGCATCGCGACCGGAATCATTCGCTTACGATGAAATTAAGTTGAATTTTACTTGCATTTTATTTTTTGTACATTATTATAATTACTATGGAGTAATAATCGTAAATGTGGAATGCAGCATGACCAGATTTCTCTATCGTGATCATTTACTACGAAGTGATGCATTTGTGTTTGTTTTATTTTTCTGTTGATCGTACAGCAAAATGTTTTCTAAAGGATGATAATTTTTGTATAACTTTCTAGACTGTCTGAAAACAGGTCATTTACTTAGTATTTAAAATAAAGGCTACAGTGACTAAGCGTCAGACTGTAATGTAAAATATTGCCAATAATGGAGCAAGAACAATGGCTTGATGAAACACAGTTACCGGTACTGGAACTTGAAGTGCTTGAAATAAGTGCCATTTGAAACAAAGTTGCCCAAATTTAACCACAAATAAGCGCCACCACAAAATGAAAGTGTAACAAAGTGGTGCCTAATTGAAGACAAATACGGTAATATGCATTGGTTTTAAGAAGTTTAAAATAAAGCAAGCAAGAATACCAATGCCATTGTTTAGATCATACTAGCTCAAGTGAATACTTTACTTGCCTTGCAAATCAAGGTGTTTGTTTGTGATTATCATAACATTTGTTGGATTGTTATGATATGCAAGTAAAATTCAACTCAGTTACATCGTAAGTGAATATTTTTGGTTTCATGCAAATGCTTGATGCGATACGATATCCGCCATTTTTTTACCATACACGAGTTGACCTTAAACTGTGTTCTTTGACCTCATAGGTCAATTTAACTAATCAGAATGCTGGATGGTGCCAATGTGTTCAAATTACTATAGCTCAATTAAATATGCTAATGAGGGTTCAGCGACCTCACTGAATGGCTAACGCAACATGGAAGAGATTTACCCATGTTGTAGTATGGTCTTTTGGCATTGATTTGGGTGGTAAAATGGCAGATATTTTTTTTTAATCAAGAAATTAGTAATTTTGATAAACTTAGCATTGAAGAAAGATTTAATACTTTATGGCCATAACAGCTCAGGTGCCAGGTAAGATTGAAATGTTCAAAAAAGGAGGGGTAGATTAGAGTTTTTACGGTAAACTGAGCTTGTTGATGAAAACAAAAGAACACACAAAAATGACCACAGGTGGCAGTCTTCACCAAATGAATAAGTTGGCTTATTGCACAAGCTTTCTGTAGTTACATTACCACTACATTAATTAATTCTAAAAATCTAACAAACTGCACCTTCTCGATAATCACATACTAGTATTTGTCGCTTTTTTTGAGATCTTAAAAGTAAAGCATGTTGAAATTTCCGCCATTACATTAATCTTGTTTTTATGTGTGTGTGTGTTTTATGTTTTTGTTTTATTTTTTTGCTTTCTTGGAAAATTGGTAATTGTGTAGGATTCATTATGAGTTATCGTAAGTATATTGTTAATTGATTTTTTGTTATTTCCATCCTCCGCTCAGTGTGCCGCTTTCAGCCCATTTTTTCCTGCACGATTCTTGGATGCTACATTAACCATCTTTATTGCATATCACTGTTACCCCTCCCTCCAAAAATCTATAAATGTACAATGATCCATGTCTTGATACAAATTTGAAATGAAAGTACTGGAAAGTGACATCATGGTTTTATCACCTATTCCTGTGTCATATTCACCAATACTGCTTATCATTAAACACCTGACAGTAGGACTCGTTTGCACGAACTGTATTTACTAACCAGAGCCTTATTGTCATGGTCAATGAAAGCTGTTCATGTATATGCTTCATTTAAAAAAAAAAAAAATAGTAAAAACAATCTTATTGTGATAATTTATGAGACAACACCCTTCCTTCTTTTCTTCCTGGACCCTTTACAGAAGTTGAGAAAACTAAAGACAATAAACCAGTACCTAACATACCCAGTAAGGTACGAGGCTTACAGAATGAGAAAAGGCTAGCCTTGGCCCCGCAGGATTCTGGTGAGTTTGGATGTTATTAAAATAAACCTGGTTTACCCACCAAACACATTGTGATGTTCATTCACAATTATTTAATTATCAAGTAACTCCTCAGTCGAATAAACTCATATAGGACAACTAATGGGGCATGTTACTAACATCACCGAATGCATTGCTCTAAACGTGAATGTATAACTGTATTATTTCCAACATATAATACACACTAGTTTGAAAAACAAAAAATTGTTTCTGGTTCGTGGATGTTTTTGCTGTTTTTTTCCCGTTAAAAAAAAAAAAAAAAAAAAAAAAAAGTACAATATGGCCTTTCAACCTGAAGTATGTGCTGACCAGAAACGATTTTTTTAGAGCCTAAGAAAGCTTCTTCAACTGTTACTTTCTTTTTCTTTTGCATCTGTATTATACTGTCTTTATGCTACTTACGCTACACTGGTGGAGGAGGGACACAAACTTTTTGGATTATGTTTACTGTGGTGTTTTAGTTTTATTTGTGTATATTTTATTTCAGGTTATCGAACCTCAACAAACAATTCCCCTCTCACGAACAGAAGAAATGAGAATTTACGCAGCAGCACTAGCAGAAGTAAACATTCATCAAGTCGGAAAAAGGGTCCAGCACCGCCTGAGAGAACTACTTCTTACGCTCTCAAGAAGGATAAAGAACATTTTGGGAACGGTGAAGCACAGCGCGATGAAGGTCAGGGTGAGAACATTAAACAGATATTTGCCAGTATTGATCAGGAGTTGAATTCGTGTATGAATTTAGCCGGAAACACTAGCACCGAAAGTAAATGTGCGAGTCAGGAAAGTGGAATCAGCAGTAGTATAGGATCAGTAAATGCAGGTGACTTTGGAGAAGCACCTGGACGGTACCCTCAGAAGGCATTGCCGCTGCCTATCACAGCGAGGAGGGGATATAGTCTAAAAAAAGACGCAATTAAGAAATGCAAAAGTGACACTGAGAAGGATCTCAGAGGGGATATTCTTGCGTCATCACATATGGTTAGATCGACTTCAAGCCCTGCAATCAGACAACGGAGCATGGACAGTTCATCTTCTGCATCTAAAGACTCTCCGTATGCACAGAGACGTAGTCTTGATTCCAGTTCTGGGTCTGAGTGCACACCCCCGGAATATCGACGAGGTGCAAAGCCCATTCCTACGCCAAGACATAAACATTCGGCTTCAACCGGTGATGAGGAAAACACACAAATTCCTTCGCCGTTAGGAGGGCGTAAAATGGTGTCCACCCCACCGCCACGGTTTCCTTCTTCAAGCTTTGATTTGCCTTCGCATCGTGAAGAGGATGAGAGTTCTCTGGATGCAGAAGAGAACGTGCAACCCAAGCCTAGACGAAGTAGATCTCGAAAATCAAGCACAGAGTCACCACAAAGATCCCATCGTGAAAGCAAAAAATCACACTCCAAGAAGTCATCCAAAAAAGTGGAAAGCCCTGAAGATTGGGAACGTGCACCTCCCATCTTTCGACCACCAAGCCCTCCATCTGGGCCACCGCCTCCACAGGTTGCTCCTAAACCAATGGTTTCTTCAAAACCCAGCCCATCTTCAACAAAACCAGCTGTTCCCAGTAACAAACCGGCTATAACAAGCCCAAAACCCAGCAGGCAAGTGAGGTCTGTAACAAGCCCTCGACATGAAAAGAGATCTAACAAAACAGTGACTAGCCCGACACACTCAACTGATGAAGAAAAACAAAGCCCTAAACACGGAAAGCCTTTACTTCCAAACTGTAAACCAGTACTTCCTGTGGACAGTTCAAACTTGCTTCAATCTGGTGTCTCTGTGAGAGCCTCCTTGCGAAAGAGACCTTCCGCTGACCTGTCTGAAATTGGAGAGGTTACGAAAAGTACACTCACATCTCTTGCTGACACTATAGAGAACAGACTGGGAACGATATTAAAAAGAGGCGACTACTCGCAGGTCATTGAACTCTGTGATGCTACTGCTGTATATGTGGCATCGTGCAATAAGTATGTGGACTCGGTGTCCGTTCTGGCAAGATTTTCTTTTCGTGAAGCAGTCTCCCTTCTATCGTCCAATTTGGATCATCTTCGTATTAAATCCACGAGTGGATCACCCGTTGAGTTGGCGACTCTCCTGTCGGCTGTTCAGAACTCCATTCGTGATGTTAATTCAATCGTTCAAAGGTAGCTGTCTGTTATTCATATATCAGTTTGTTTTACAAACCTGTTCAGTCCAGTTGCGTGTAGTCACCTCCAGCCTGCTTTAAATCCATTTGACAACTGGTTAAAACTGGTTGGAACCAGTTGAACGTGATTTTATGTGTACATGTATGCTGAAGATGGTGACTTCTGTTATTGGTGCTTGCTCCTAATCACAAGGTAGTTATTGGTAGCATAATGAAAAACAGTTGAAATAAGAACATTGTTTTGATATTCATCATATTGTAATACTTAGTAAAAAAAAGAAAGACATAATTTGTTGCAAATTACAGAAACATTATAGGGAACTTGTCTTTACTTTTCATGAATTCAGCTGCAGTCCGTGCTAGTTTGAAAATGCACATTTCAATTGTTTGGTATTGAAAAAGAAATGTTTTTACAACGAAGATAGCTGTTAAATAGCTTGTCAGTCAGCACTGTGAACATTGTAATCAGATGTAATCAGAATTGAACATTTCAATATATAACCTGCAGTGGGCCCAAATTTTGGCAGATATTACCATAATAGATTAACCTTCCATGCAAATAATTGTAATTATTACAGTGAGCCAAATTTCAAATTTTTGTTAACATAAAGCAACTGTGGTCTACAAAGTGATTGCCCTATGAAATTATCATGATACAAAGTCAAAAATAAAAAGTTGAAAAACTATTTTAAAGCGGGGATGTCGTCACCTGCGCATGCGTTAGATGGCCATAGCATGTCATCGTTCACAAACAAGCGTCTACCCATGAGCCTTTGCGCTTTTAGCGTGTGTTGTTATCGTCGCGTGGGACTCAATTCCTGCATGTACGCAGGTGACAACCCTCTCGCTTTATTGTTATTGTGGTCCAAACTAACTCAGTATTCAAAGAGTTTAGCTCATTCTCAACATTTTGAAACAAGTTCTTTTTCTCTATGGAATGACGCATCCAGTATTTGTTCATTTACACATGTAAAGGTGTCAACCCTAATGAACGTATTGGATACAATACAATTTAAAGCAGGGTGTCAGTATTTTAATGCCATTCATGGTAATTTACATGTCAACTCATCACTTTCATTACCAACAATCTCCTCGTCTATTTCACATGTGTTGTTTTGTCAGTGAGGGGAATGGAAATATGACTCTTGCAATGCTCATACCAAGACAGTGTTTCCATTAAAATCATGTGTACAGCAAAATTGTTGTTCGTTTGATTGTTTGTGTATAATTCTCACCATGCATTGCTTACTCCAGATTGTTATTTTATCAATGTTACCCACAATTCATTTCACTCATTCATGATAAGTTTTGTGCAGAATATTAACAACAACAAATATTTTCCTGGATTTACCTCTCCATGTAAAGTTCTCGGCAGCATACTGATATTGCTGTATGGGTTATATTTAAATTGCATTTCAAGTAGAAGAGCATATGAACCAAAAATCAATTTTGTTGTATTTTGAATTAACATATTACCTTTTTTGACCATAGAAACACTTCTATAATTTACTAATAGTGCAAATACAGTAGTTGTCGCTATGGTAATTTTGACCACCTAATTGTACAGCACATTAAAGAAAATCTTTATTGACAAGTTTTAAGTTATCTGGCTACTTAGTTAACAACTATGATTCAAATAAAATACTGCCTACGAGTGTCTAGCGCCAGCTTAATAAATTTGTATTTCATGGACATTTTGTAAACTCCCTTTCAAAAACAAAAATAACATATTCTGCACAAAACTGAAACAATTACCCATTTAATATGGTTCACTGAATATCATGGTATAACAAATATAGATTCTATTTTGTCTTTAAATCCATAATTTTATTATCTGTTTAAATAATACATAACATGCTAACTATGGTGTAGGAAAATCAGAAATAGAAATGTATCGTTACCTGAATTGGTTAGTACGCCCTCTAGTGGTCAGACAGCGATGTTTAAAATGATACCTAATAATTAACTTTCACCAAGAAAGAAGAAATATATTTTCCAGTTTCTGAGTTCCAGCCAGGATATATTCAAATAATCATACGATTTTGAAATGAACATAGGAAAGTAGATGCAATATTGATTCTGTCAATTTGATAGAGTTTCAAGAAAAACAAAAGTTTTAATTTTGGTGGTTGGTGAGGGCGCTGCACAGTGTACTGCTATTCTGTAAAGTTGTATTGTGTTGCAAGTGTATTTCAAAATCTCAAGTTACTAGACCTCATGAGAGTGCAATTTCGATTATGATACTGAGAAATTACATTAATTATGGAAATTATTTGTTTGACTACATGGCTTTCTTTGCTCCATTACAAGCACATTTCTAATAGAAACGAGTATGCATAAAAACTTTTATTGGGGTATATCATTTGAAAATTGAGGGTTTTCAATAAGGGGAGGGGATAGCCAAAAAATTGAGAAAATCTGAATGCTATTGTGCTATATTAAACACTGTATTAATCATCATTGAATTCCAAAATCTCAGCACCAGAAACTAATTTTTGTCTTTAGCCTTTTTAAGATCAGGTACATCAGATGTTTTTTTATACCCAGTTAAAACAGTCGGGGGTTTATAAATATAATATCATCATCTGCTAATTTACATTAATGTATAAAACACCATCATTTTCTTTGACAAAAATTATTTTAGTGATGAATTTTGACTTAACAGTATATCCATTGATTGCAGCTCTTGTTAAAAAAGTTTTGGAAAATATGGTAAAATTATGACTTTTTACCGTGTGAAAAATACACGTTTTACTGTCCCAGTGTTTTGTACATATGACCATTTTTGGGTTGTAATTTGTATACATCCCTCTCAACAACACAAAATGTAACTGTACTTTGGCAATGTCCACCGTCTTCAACAAGTGTTTGATGTGTATCAATGGTCAAGTAGAAAACCATCACTACAAATTCACTGGACTGCAAAAATACCAGAATGTATGGTGTTCCTGTGAAAGTGACGGTATGTAAATAAAAGTTGAATATGGCCTTCCAAGGGTGTACATAAACATTGTTATAGGAGTGGGGGTGCAGTAAATGCCATTCCTGGCTTATGCGAGTTTCTATTGGAGTGAATTGAGTACCGGTATATGTCATTATTCACCTTCTGCAATCAGCACTACTGTATATTTCTCTTAACATGTATGATAATTTTGTATTCATAGTTATTTTTTAGGTTTTTAAAAATGCACTTTCATCTTTTGTGGTCCAATTTCCTCTTAGTTTTGATGTACTGTCATTCTTTTCTTAATTTGTTTGTTCCACTCACTTCTTATATTAAAAGGTCCGTAAAGTACGACCCAAGAAGAGAAATTTAATTATTATTCTGAAATGTAATTAATTATTTTAATATATTAAACAAGTTCAATTTACAAAAAAATTGCTGCTCTGTATATGTGATTAATTGAGTTGCTATCTGATGATTACATTTATATTACTGTTGGTTCAAGTTCTAATTCAACCACAAGCAATAGCGATAATTGCTCAACCGACTTGAGCAGAATACTAGTAATTGACTGTATAACATGTTTTTTTTTTTCAAAATTCTCTGAACATGATGCGCTGCAAATAGGACCTGAAGAAAAAATGAAAACATTTTCTCATTCGGTATGCATCCCATCTTGTGGAGTCTTGTTGGGTTTCCTAGCAACAAACGACTACCAGCATCCACAGTTTACTACATCACCTACCAGAAATTCCATAGAAATAATAAATTTAATTTATTACTCGTTAGGCTTAATTACAGATTACAGCCCCAGATAGAACTATTAGAGAATATACCCAGGTTCACAAAGAACACCCTAAGGTAACATTGTCTCGCCTCAGGGGTCACCCCCAGGATGATCATGCGCTTAAGGCCTTTCGTCTCCATTCTCTTTTTGTTTCCGCTGCTACCAAAAAGATTTTTTTTTTTCTGCTCAGCGTTTGCCTAACAAAAGATTACAGTTGTTCACTGCCCTTCCTAGTAGTCTAGTGCTTTTATGATCGACACTGGCAGTTCCAGCATCACTGTAAGGGCTCCAGATCTTGTCTGTTTTTGCTGAATCGTCAGCTCAATTTTTGAATTTGTGTCGATCTTTTTTTGGCAGGGTAAATTTGCTCGTTTCTCACATACTCATTTCTAATCTTTTCTAATTGCATCATGCCTAAGTCATTAAAAAGACTAAGAACGTTTTACTAGACCTACGGCACATAAGATATGTTCATCTTAGCCAGTTTGGATTTTGCCTTGAGGGAGTGTGTGATCTGTGGGACTCTAAAGCGTGGGGGCACTTTGTGGCAGGGTTAAAAGCTGAGGGCAAGCGACCACGGCATGCTGGTAAGCATCACACTAAATAGCGGTCTGATTCAATGAGAGAAAAATCTCTCCTTAGTGGCCAAGTCAAGGCTTGCCTCCTATCCAAAAACTGAGGAAGAGTTACCACAGTTCGACTCCCTCCTCAATGTAGCGGGATCGGTGACCGAGGAAAGACCTTCACAGCCGTCTATCTCTGCCAATCACCGCTTGCACCGAAACTCGGATACAGCATGTTCCTACTGAGGTGCTGGCATCGATCACTAGTGCTGAGGTGGGGTCGGTACAGCCACCAATACTTCATCTGCGCTTACGCAACCTGGGTTGGTTGCGAAGACAACCTTGTTGTACCCCTCCACCGATGTTAGTCGGAGTGAAAGGGGCTCCTCCCATGGTGATGAGACGGCTTGGAAGGCCTGGATGTTTAACTTGGCCTCCAAAGTGAACTCCCTCCTGCAGTCGCAGGGTACGACCCAGGAGTGAGGTGGGAGGAGAGGGGCTGTGCTGCCTGTCTCCCCCCCTCCACCAGGATTTGGGTCAGATCTGTCCAATCCTCCCTTTGATCTCTCTGTAAGAGGATCAGGGGGGACAACTCAGATCAGTGGGACAGGGGAGCATCCATCTCTTCTATGAAGGGGGTTTCCCACACCTCCCTCAGGCACGGTCAGAGCAGGCTTCGTTATCTTTGCTTGACCAAGCCGCGCAACC